AGGCGGACAGATCATGTGAGGTCAGGGTGTGAGACCAACCTGGCCAACATAACGAAACTCCATCTCTACTAAAAGTACAAATAGTCGGGTGTGGTGGCGGGCACCTGTAATCCCAGTTACTTGGGAGGCTAAGGCAGGAGAATCAGTTGAACCCAGGAGGCGGAGGTTGCACAGTGAGCCAAGATCGCACCATTGCACTCCAGCCTGGGTGACAAAAGCGAAACTCCGGCTCAAAGAAAGAAAGAAAGAGAGTGTCGCTGTGTCGCCCAGGTTAGAGTGCACTGGCATGATCTCGGCTCACTGCAGCCTCCGCCTCCCATGTTCAAGCGATTCTTGTGCCTCAGCCTCCTGAGTAGCTGAAACTATGGGTGCCCACCATCATGCCCAGCTAATTTTTGTATTTTTAGTACAGACTGGGTTTCACCACATTGACCAGGCTAGTCTCGAACTCCTGACCTCAAGTGATCCACCCGCCTCAGCCTCCCAAAGTGCTGGGATTACAGGCATGAGCCAATATGCCCGGACGTTTATAATATTTTCTACCCTAAGCCATAGTAGATGAACCAGTGGAAGTGATAATAGCCTTATAATTGAGGATAGGAATTCATGTGGGTTTTTTTTATAACAGGGGTTTTTTTTTTTTTTTTTTTTTTTTTAATAATCAGGGCCTCCCTCTGTTGCCCAGGCTGGAGTACAATGGTGCAATCATAGCTCACTTCAGTCTTAAGCTCCTGGGCTCAAGAGATCTTCCCGACTTAGCCTCCTGAGTACCTGGGACTGCAGGCATGCACCACTATAGCCAGCTACTTTTTAAATTTTTTGTAGAGACAGGGTCTCACTAGGTTGCCCAGGTTGGTCTCAAACCCCTGGCCTCAAGTGATCCTCCTGCCTCCGCCTCCCAAAGTGCTGGGATTACAGGTATGAGCCAATGTATCTGGCTTTAATAAGATTTTCTTTTCTTTCTTTCTTTTCTTTCTTTCTTTCTTTTCTTTCTTTCTTTCTTTCTCTTTCTATCTTTCTTTCTTTCTTTTTTTTTTTTTTTTTTTTTTTTGTATTTTTAGTAGAAACAGGGTTTCACTATGTTGGCCAGGCTGGTCTTGAACTCCTGATCTCAAATGATCTGCCTTGGTCTCCCAAAGTGCTGGGATTATAGGCATGAGCCACCACGCCCAGCCAAGGGACAAAAACCTTTTCGCAGAAAAACATTTTTATACAACTTAACCAGAAAGCTTCATTTCAGGTTCAGGAAGTGGAAGGGGCAAAACCCTGGATTTTCACAAATTTCCAAAATGGGCTTATATAACTCTCCACCCTTTTCTTTTCTTTTTCTTTTAGAGACAGGGTCTCACTCTGTTGCTCAGGCTGAAGTGCAGTGGTGCGATTATAGCTCACTGTAACCTTGAACTCCTGGGCTCAAGGGACCCTCCCATCTCGGCCTCTTAAAGTGCTGGGATTACAGGTGTCTGCCATTGCTCTTAGTTCGCCACCAACCCTTTTCATTCTGATCATTTCTCTAGTGAGCTGCGTAGAAGAAATAATGCCTTTTGAGGGACAGTTGCATTTAACAGACAGCCTTACTAAGGCGAGTACATCAGGACAAAGATGCAGGAAGGACAATCAGGCTATTAGTCTGTTGTTGCAAATTGCAACAAATCGAGAAAGTCAGACACTGATCAACTGCAGTGAAACATTTGGTGGGTGATTTTGAGAGTCCCATCTGCAGGAGTGGGTGGAAGGATCACGGTCCCTGTTATGTATCCTCTCTCGGCTTGTTAGCTCACGCCTGTAATCCCAACACTTTGGGAGGCCAAGGCAGGAGGATCACCTGAGGCCAAGAGTTTGAGACCAGCCTCGCCAACATGGCAAATCCCTGTCTCCGCTAAAAAATACAAAAATTAGCTTGATGTGGTGGTGCACACTTGTAGTCTTAACTACTTGGGAAGCTGAGGTGGGAGAATCACTTGAACCTGGGAGCAAAAACTGCGGTAAGGACAGGACTTTAAACTCTAGGACCCTGACACATTTAGACGAACATCCCCCTCCCTGGGGCCCCCATAACCATACACCGCTCGTGCAATACATCGTGAGATGCTCTGGACAGTCTGGGATTCACTTGCAAGATTTGTCCATGCTGGAGACACGAGTTCCTCCTGATGACATAAATAGGAAACTATAAACAAAAATAACAACATACAATTTTCTTTTTTTGAGACGGAGTCTTGCTCTTGTGCACAAAACAAAAACAAGAAGAGACAAGGCGCGATCCAATGGTCCCACACCTCACACCCACACACACAAGAATATAATAGAGACCATATCTGCACCAGTAACCAGGGATTAAGGCATGGTGCCCACCCAAGCCTGCTAATTTGTATTTTTAGTAGAAATGGGGTTTCACCAATGTTTGGTCAGACTGGGTCTCGAAATTCCACCCGACTCCAAGGTGAATCTGTCCGCCCTTGGCTCACAAAAGTGCTGGATTTATAGGCATGAGCCACCAGAACCCGGAATTTTTTTTTTTTCTTTGTTCTTTTTTAGACAGTCTTGCCAATGTTGCCCCAGGCTGGAGTCAATGGTGTGATTTGGCTAACGCAACTCTGGC